AGAAAATGAAAGAGAGCATAAAAATTTTACTTTTTAATTTAGGAGAATTATAAAATATTTATAAAATATAAACATAAAATATTATTAGAACATTAAATTTAAAGCTTAAATATTTTTTAGTTTTAAATTTTTATTTTCGTAGTAGTTAAAAGAATCCATCCTTAAAAAATTAAAATGATTATTTTTTTCCTATTAAAATGTAATTAATGGGTTCTTTTAATTTTTACTAGTGATGTAACGTGGTGGAATGCTGCTTGGTCCACTAAATAAATATTTGTTTTGTTTACTCTTTTAAATTTCAATACTCATGACATATTTGCATGCATCTATAAGTTGCTTTTTTTTAATACTGAGTTTTTTTAAAATGAAAAATTTGCTAAAAGTATTTTAAAAAATACATTAACTATAATTTTTTTTATATGTTTTGACAAAAGTCAATAAATTAAAATAATTTAATCCCATCAATCTAAACAAAAGTCAATAGGGTATGATGATCTCACAACTCCAAACAAAAATATTTTAAGTAATTTATATAATGGGTTGCGAGTGAAAATACATTAATGCTTGTCTCCTCCCTTGTTTATTAATAAATATAGATATATTCGTTTAAATTACATGTGATTCTTTTTTCTATTTTCTATCTGTTACAAAAATTTATGGGTAAAAATATTTGTCATTCTTAATTTTGACAATATCATGATCCCTATTCATAATTTTTATTTCTTAAAATAATCGAAAGTTCTTATTGGTTAAAATAAAAAATAAAACACGTAATTGAAGAAGCTTTCATGAAAACTATTTTTGTCATTTCTAATTTCGACTATTTATAACTCATTCATAGTTTTCATTTCTCACAATACGTAAGTTTTTATTTGGTTAAAATTTAGAGTTATATATAAAGGGTGTGCATGGAATGAGTTTATTTATTTTAGTGTGATCTCAAATTTTGTTAAGGTCATTAATTTCATTAATTTAAAACTTATGTCAAAATTGAAATTCATTGATATATATATATATATATATATATGATCGGA